CGACCAAATCGGTTTTCGACCAAAAATTTCGAGTTTTTTATGCCTCGGATGACAACCGAATTTCGGTTCTCGAATAAACTGAGCGCACTTGAATGCGTCATTTGACTCCTCTCGCCTTCCTTACATGAGGAAGTGACATTTCCTCGGGTAGACGAGGAAGTGACGCTTCCTCGTTTAGCGTTCTATGGTGAACAGACGTGTTCAATAAAGATTTTTTTTTTAAAGCGTGGTTTCGGTTTTCGAACAAATCGGTTGTCAAACAGCCTTCTGGAACGGATTATAGTTGAAAACCGAGGTATGACTGTAAATGATTATTGAAATGTATTTCTTGTTTCAGAATTGTTTACATATTTTTATTTATTTATTTCTTCCATGCTGTTTTCATGGGTTGACACAAATACTCTTTAGCAAACACACACAAAAAAAAAGATTCAAGATGTATTGATAATTGTGAATGAAAAAGTAGCAATATGAAGCATAAGTGAATTGATTTGTGAGGTGGTGAGAAAGCCCGACTCCTAGTTCATACAAAGTTCTTTTCTTTGTGTGCTTCATTTTTATGTCTATACACAGAGCTAATGTGACTTGCCCGAAAGCTCGAGTTTTGTCACATCTGGACATTCTCCCAGAAGCGTTGTGGCTTGTCTATACAGTATATGTGTTTGGGGAAATTCCAGTCTTGTCAGACTCATGCTATTGCAGAGACCACTGTGGGTTTGTTTTTTTTCTTTAATGGAAGAGTGTCAACAATTTGTGAATAAACTGTGAAGTGTTGTTGGATTTTAAAAAAAAAAACAACAGCAAAAAACAGCAGCATTAATTTAGTTATCCTTTCCTGAATTCCCCAAATCACAACAAATATATAATTAATGACTGAAATTGTTGATTGCTGCAACACCCGAGACAGCATGGCGTGTTTACCCTGAAAAGGCAACACATGCAATGCTGGCTGATGACAAATGAAAGCAAAGTGAAGCAAATATAAATAAAGAGAAAGACAAAGCAAAAATCTGGAAGTTACTGTCTTTAAACACTTTTAACAACAGGTCGAACGCCAAAGGCAAATTCCTGGAATGATAGAACAGCTGGGGAGCAAAGGTTAAGGTTTGAGGTGCAAATTTCATTGCAAGCATGATCAATAAAGACCTCCTGTGAGCGCCTCACTTTTTGCACAAATAATGAATGAGCCTTTGAGTCATCCTGTGATTTTCTGTATCAGGGGTATGGACGGCGGTTTGTGATTGCGAGCAAAGCACAAGCCACAAAATAATAAATTATGTTCTCTCCTCAAGCTGAGGCGTTATGATATCTAATTCTACCCAATGCTTTATACTGGTCAACTATCTTAGCAACCACAAACACAACATATTTACTCAGCTTTTTTGTTTCTTTGTTAGTTTTGTTTTGTAATTATAAAGCAACCATAGCTGTGATTGTAAATGACTCATTTTCTCAACAATTTCTCTGCTGTATTTCATTTGGATGTTGAGTGAATTGAAGAATGGGCAATTGAAGTGGGTACATTCTCTCTTTTTTTTTTTTTTTTTTGCAGGGAATTGAAGACCTCATGGGTGAAATTCAGACGGAGGGGTTCGAGAAAGAGCTGTCACTTTAAGCCATTAAGTCTTGCCATAAAACTACCCCCCCAATAAAAATGACAGCTGCAGCCCTGTTCTCTCAAAAGGGGGGCGGGGGCGGGGGGGCAAAGGCATCACATCAGGAACACAAAACTGGATGGCAATAAAAGACAAACTTGGCCAAATGCTTTTGGCGCTGTAATTTCATGAGCCCTCTTCCAGCACCACACATGTACGCGCACACACAAGCCTGCACACACCCCCTTCACGGAAGACAGACACCCTCTCTCAGTATTACCTTTGTTCCTGAGTTACAACCAGAAAAGGAATGTGGCTCTCTGTCTCGCACGCACACAAATCCCACTTTCTCATCAAAGACTATGAACTTCATTGGGTTTGGGAGGGGCGGGGGGGAGAAAGTAGGGGGGTCATGCGTGTCTGAGTACGTGTTTTGTGTACGCGGGTGAATATTCTACCGTACCTCATATTGCCCCCAAATAAAAAGTATCACATAACTAATCCTGTTGTGGGACATTTGATTTGAGACTAAAGCCCTCATTAGCAGGTGATAAAAGAAGTTTACGGCGAAGCAAGGACAGGCCAAAGCTACCGATTCACTGCCATTTAGCAAGAAAGTGTTTTGCTTCGCACTCGCAGACGACAAGGCTGCTCGAAGCAGGTATTGTGACAGTGGAGGTGACCTTGAGCCTTTTGGAATCATTTCAATCCGTGTTTCATGTGCTCCGTCGGCCAGCAACTCAGAGCAATTCGCCAGAATGTCGGTAAAGTATCACAAATGCAAAGCTAATATGAAAGAGTCTTCCGCTGTTTTTGTGAGAGCGGTTTTAAAGTGTCCTGACAAAAAAAAAAAAAAAAAACTTGAGTTCTACTTTCTGTCTCTTTTTAAATATATTTAAATAAAATGCACAGGAAGTTGTGTGCAATATCAGAGAAATAAATGAAACACAATGCCAATTGAAACAAGAAATAACCTGAGGATGTGTACACCGCAGAGTAATCAAGCAGCATTTCTTCAGTTCCATTGATGATTCTTAAACAGCCTTTCACGAGAGCCTCGTATCACTCACACAAAACGACTCTCCAATCGGTCATTCATTACAACTTTAGAGCTTAATGTCAAATTTGTGAAGCGCTTGGAGGAGTTGATAACAGGATCCGGCGGACATTCGGCATACACATCCATCCATTCATCCATTTTCAACACAGCTTATCCTGAACAGCGTCGCAGGGAGTTGCTGGAGCCTATCCCAGGCTGACTTCGGGCGGAAGGCAGACTACACCCCGAACTGGTCGGCAGTCAGTCGCAGTGCACATTTAGAAACTAACAACCATTCACACCCACATGCACACCGTCGCTGAGTGCGAACCGATTCCCACGCTGCCAGCACACGATTCAGGCGAGTGTACAACTGCACCATCAGCGATTCAATTCGGCATAAGCACGCAATAGCATAAATAGCTCCGGCTTGATGGTGCTATCACACTAACAACTGATCTATATTTGTAAACCTGCATTTCCAACAGCCGCGTGTCAAAATCCCTAATGCTGCGTGACAGATAATAACACTGAATGAGTGGCTAATCAATACTCCCAAGGACTTAGAAGATAACAGCGTCCTTGAAGTGGCCAATTAACAAATCGGACCCACCAAGTCCACTTTTGATGGACCGAGTTGAAATAGAAATAGTGATATTAGGACAGGCAGATTAGCACCGGGAAGCTGCTGATACAGCATGTGATGTATCTTGAGGGAAAATATGAGAACCATCACTTGAATAATTGCACTCCACATTGAGCTTTACATCAACCACAGCTTGCTTTTATGCTGTACTTATATAGGCTTACAGGCATACAGATGGACTACTTTGATAAATTGGAAGTCCTCTCCCGTTCAGTGTGGACACACAATACAGCACATCGACAATAAAGCACACGAGAGGTGCATACAGTTTAACGGGCGGGGGGTGTGGGGGGGAGCTGTTTCTGCAAACTGTAACCGAAGAAGGCTGCCCCGAGTCCCACAAGTCCCGTGAATGTTCGCGATGCGTACAGGCGGCTGATGATACGTGTCGAGATGTAACATGATGCACTCATGAAAGAGCAGCAGACAAAATGACAGGGCTGGCCTGCTCCAGCATTATGCTGCATCATCTCTACAGGGGACAAGGGTCACTTTGACAAGCATACAGTAGCACACGGCTTTAATGATTTACAGTGCAATGTATGCAAGTGTGACAAGGAATCCTTAAAACACACTGAAGCAATACTTTATGTAACCAGAAGTTCAGAAGAGGAGTTGTTTTTTTTTTTCTGAAAGTTCAAACCTGCCCTTTGCGGCTAGCAGTTAGAGTAGAAATCATTAGAAAGGAAGCCTTGTCTGCAATTTTAAAATGAACTAGTTTATTCATAATTTCGCTGCTGGGATTTTATAGAATTAAACTTTGCATTATCGAAGCCAGATTCTTTAAAATAGTTGAATGAAAACAAGCTGATATTTGACAATGTTTACTTTATTTTGCTGCTGTATTTGACAGTGACAATGCGGTCAAACAGTTCCATTCTTAAAGTGGATGTGATGCATATCGAGTTTATAGCTAGTGCTGATTCTCAACCCAGGTCCCAGTTTTCCACAACATCGCAGTCCAATATCAAATGTTCAATATACATCAATTAAAAAGGCTACAACACACAATTCGATAATCAATAAATCCACCATAAATCTCTGCCCCCAAGAGTGAAGCAACTTGGAGTCGCACTAGAAATAAAGCTAGTTTATGTAGTTCTACCCTATGACGCGTAAAACGATTTCACACCTTTAAAAATGCACTCCATTATGAGATTATTTTTAAAGAAAATCACTCAAGCGCCGCAACGAACGAAGCTTGGTGTTACGTAACACAGAACTCAAATTAAAAGTGTACTCCGCCTCCACTGTGCTCCACTGCTTACATTTTTGTGTTCAAATAATAAGTAAATGAAAAGCTTTGACTTAAATCGTAATTCCTGCCATAATCATTAACAGGTGAAGATATGAAAATGTTTTTGGGGGTAAACTTCAGGCAAGAAGCGCACGCGAGGAGCGCGCACATCTTTATCCCGTGCGACTCTGTCAGTCAACGCGGAATGTCGTCAGCTCCGAGAGCGACTCCATGTGTCTTTTTAAGCCCCGCGCCAGTTACATTTCACGATTCCAAAACGGGGGAGAAAAAAAAAAAGACACCGGTCACGCTCTAGTTCAAGGCGTGTGGACGCGGTGGGCAACTCGCTGTCAAAAACTGATAGAGAGAAGAAAAAAAAGCGAGGCAAGGAAAGACGACATGAGGACAACAGTGAATGCAGACGTCGCGCCACTGCAGAATTAAAAAAAAAAAAAAACTGTAACGTGGAATGAACAAACTCACCCAATGACAAGAACGGTTTGGTTTCCATCTCTGACTGGTAGGGGTTATGTTAGCTCATGCCAGCTGAGATGATCGCGTTCGGGAGTTTTTTCACTGGTGGTTCGAGGACACCAGACCAGGTGTTGTTGCTGCTCTCTGTGGTCCTCTTCGAGTAGCCTTTGGAGCGGGTTTAAAAGTGACAAGTCGATGTCTAGTAGTCTCGTAAGAGCGAGCATGCGATTCTACCTCTACTCGCTCACTCAGCTGCTGTACTCCTCTCGTCTCGGCTCGCGTGCTCTCGACACAAGTCCAACTACTGGATCTGCACTGCAAAGGGACCCACGCAGGGGGTACTCCTACAGACCCGCATCACGCTGCAGCGACGCCACACATCCAAACCTTTGCATGAACCCTTTAACGAGCAACGAAGACAGAGCGTCACTGTTTTTAGGCGGAAAAATGCATTTTAACTGTTGATATTAAGCGAATTGCACGGCAGTTTACAATTCCGCAAACAATAGCAGAGCCCCTTCCAGCACCCCAGCTGCTACTTGTTCTTCTCACTGCCTATCTGCTGTTATTTTAACCTGGTCACATCTGTTGAATGAAAAAGTTGTGGGCTCACTGCATAGAAGTTGAGATGTTTCAACGTGCTCACCGCCGAAGCAATTCGCCGATCTCTGTGGAGAAGCTACCGGCATGTTAAATAAATGAACAAACGTGACATCCAGGTTAGGATTTCCTGGAATTAAATTTGAGAATTTTCTGGTATTATTTTTGTTTATCAAATGTGATCCCTCGTTTTGGAACTGCACATATATAATTATTATTATTATTTCTCTCTCTCAACCATTTCCCTTTATGGAGAGTAATGTGGTGCATTAGCATCCTTCCTCAAAATGTTCTGGTTCGAATTGCTCAAATTTTCCTGGAAGAGCTTCACACCAGGGGCGTACATAGGGGTGGGCAAGAGGGGCATTCATAATGACCCTCACCAGTCACCAAAAATTGGATGATAAACGTATTCCAAATACACGGTCTATGTAGGGCTTTGGAGAGGATGGTCAGTTTGGAAATCGGACCTCAGATTCAGGTGGAGCAGTGTGGTTTTCATCCTCACTGCATAACAATGGACCAAACTGCGCACCCTCAGCCAGGTGGCAGGAGAGTTTGCCCAACCAGTCTCCATGCGCTTTGTGGATTTGGAAAAGTTGTTTGACCGTGTCCCTCAGGGAGTCCTGTTGGAGGTTCTCTGAGACTTTAATCCAATAGAGAACTTGCATGCTGATACAATTTCTCAGGTGAAAGCAAGAAACACAGAATTGTGGAATCGAGTCAAAATTTCCTGGGCTATCAAAAAACATGTGATGCATTTCTCAGGAACACTGCTTGTAGATTTTTACTATTCTTATTAGGAGTAGTTTATCCAGGAAAAGCAGTTTAGAACAGTTTCTCATTGGCAATGCATCTAAACATCACAGAAAAACCACACATTCAAGCATTGTTCCGTTTAAATTAAAATCTAAATGAAAATATTCATTTGTTTGCATTTTCTATAACGCAATAACACCTTTTAGATTCATGTTCTTGATTCGGAATCAATTCTCCAGTGCTGCCACATCATTTGCTTTTTTTAGGCATAAAAAGGGTAAAAGGATTTTGAGCTTTATTTGTGTTGTTGTTTTTTTGTTTTTTAAACATGCTGCTGTCATTCTGCACACTTCTGTGGCGCCATCACAAACAAAGGCAAGTACTTTGGCTTGAGATGCTCATTTAGCTGAAGTTTCACAAGATTTGCTTCAGGCTTGTGAGATATAAGGCCTTGTTTGGAGTCATGCGTGACGGTGGCTTGATCACTGGCATTTAGTCTCACTTTATTTTTGGTCAATTTTCCATTCTGGGCATTCAGATATGTAGGTCCAGTTGAATGTAATCAGGCTATTAATGAATTAATTTATTTAATTTTTACCTCGAGGAAATCCAGTCCCTACATTCACTAATGTTTGCTTCATTAACTCACTGATCTGCCAACACGGCACAAATATCTATGAATTCATTCCAGATGGAAAAAAAAAGTTTGGGCAGAGATGAACACAACCCTCGCCCCTCGGCGAAACCCTCAACAAGCAGCGGCATGTTCAGTTTGCATAAATCTTACTGCATTACAGCGCTGTTAACTCTCCGCCACTTCACTCTCATTGTTCTGGTTGCTCTCTATGTTCATACCGTGACAGTTTTCTTCCTTATTCAAACACCATCTATCTTGCCAGCACCTCCTGTCCATTTTTTTTTTTTAAACACAGCAGTCTGCACGCAGACAAAAGAAACCATGTCACTCGTTTGATTGAGATTGAAGCAGAGGATTCCGATTCGGAAACTCTGCACTCTCCCCACTATGACGCCGTCGCCTCTGCTGTGTATGCAGAAGCAATGTAGGGCGTACATGCGCCTCCTACAGCCATCCGCCAGTTCTTTATGATGAACATGCTGCTGTTAAGCACTAGAAGGTGCTCACCATGTTTGTACTGAGGCATGATACATAATTAATGCAATGCACGGCGCATCAAAGATCAAAAGGAGGTTGTTTTTAAAAAAAAAAAAAATGAGGAAAATGCACTCCTGAAACTCATTCAGAGGGAGTATGAGTATCTTTTTTATGGTGCCGAAATGACTCCTGGAAGCCTTTGTGTCAACGCTTCATTCATCAATCTTGTGAATTAATAATCATAAAGGTGTTGCAATGTTTGCAATGTGATGTTAAGTGACACAAATGCTCATTAGAGGAGGGTCGGGCGGGGGCAAGGGCCGAATTTGTCCTCAGTTCAGGGGGCTGTGCAGCCTCGGGCGTCTCCACTCTGTAATAGAAGACAGACGCAACAATCTTTTTCAAACCTCGCTCGGGCCAGGTTCTCTCATCTGTCTGCGAGATCGAGCTATTTAATCCTCATCATGCATGATGATTAATAGTGCCCTGACCTTTCACCTCTGTCCATAAATTCTCTGGTGGCTGTTTTGGCTCTCTTCGAACACCCCGCACCTCTTTTGACCATGTTCTCCCGTCTATATTTAACTCTGATTGCATTTTCTCTTTGCACGGCGTCCTCTCTTCTTCTCTCCTTTGCTGTCTTATTTCTCCACGGTAAGCAATGGGTTTGGGCCTCGGGGGACGACAGACCACCACTGTTACGGTTAAACTCTGCTATGGTTGCTTTGACAGCCCCCTCCTCCTCTTTCTCCCGCTCTTAAAGTGGGTGATAAATGAGACAAGGGCCTTTTGGTCTTCTTTGTACTTTGACCATTCAGGACAAGCTCATCCGTAAAAGTGATTATGGCCGTTTTGGTGGCAATGACAATGGTTACCAATCCAGAGGAATGTACGGCAAAACACACAAGAGACTTTAAAGGCTGCAACTCATGTCTTGATTACAGCTTTGAAAGTTTTGGCTTGTGGAAGTCATAATAATTTAATATAATGGGATGAAATAACATTAACAAATGGCTTCGGATATTTGAATGCTCAGACATTTGCACCATGCGATTGCACAACAACAACAACAACCGTCTCAACTCTTCAAAAAAAAAGAAACATTGTCCTCAATTTTCTTGCCCTATTTCTATCGAGCTCCGCGGAATTGAAAGTAATCAAAACAAGTGGGGCTCGTTAGGGAAGGGTGTGCTATTATAGTTTTGCCAGCCCAAGCAAATATTAGTTCCAAACTATTGTACCTGTTTTTTTTTTTTTTTTTTTTTTTTTTTTTCTGGAAGCTCGAAAGTGACATCATGGACAAAAATGTGGCGATGATGTCAAAGCATTGCCAGAAAGCATGTGCTAAGCCTCACTTAACATGGACAAAGGCTTTGTGGTCTCACCTATGTGTTGACTCACCGTCTGAAGTTTTGGAAAAAAAAAACCTACGCGAGGTCCTATTTTACACAGCACTTAGCACAGTGGCATCATTGAAAATGTTCAAGACACTCGACCAATTACACCAGAATGGACAGAAAGCTCCACTATGTTGATTCTACCAGGTTGGTAAAATGTGTAAGTAATTTTATTTCTGAACAAAAATAAAAATGTTACATTAAACCAACAAATAGCATAGCTACACATGCTTAACTTGTATCACATCACAAAGCTGGAATTTCCATTTTTGCTCCTTCACTTTCAAACCAGCGGCAAAAAGACACCAGGCTACTTACTGTTTAGTCACATAGCAACGAGTGCCAAATATGGGCACGCTTGTCCCGTGTCGTCTTTGTCTCTGTGCGGCCCTGCATCCTACCCTGCAGCGGGTGCTGTGAAAAACAAGTGCAGTGTTTAAGTGCCTTTATTATCGCCATGTAAACACGGTTAAGTGCCCAGTTGAGATATGCAAGTGTGTGTGAGTGTGTCACTGTCCAAAAAAATGCTTCTCCCACCCACTAGGAGCCATCGTGACATAGCACCCTTATCAAAGCATCCATCAAAGCATCTGTTTTAACAAGGGATGACTGAAGGAGCTATTTCAAATGATGTTCCTGATCAAGATAAATCCATTTATATTTTCACTCATAACAAGGCCCTCCATAAATAAGTTACACAACTGCAGAGGAAGCGCTCAATGTCACTCTCCCACAAAGTTGGCAAATGATTTCTTCTCAATCCTGTCTGGAACAGGACTGCGGTGAACTGAAAATGTGAAATGAGGAACGCTCAAGCATGTGAGATCATGAGGGCGTTTGCTGAGGTGTTCAGCATTGTCCGCCCCGAGGGAACGTCTTGATCGTCACAGCGTTTGGGTTCACATTCCTTAACCCCTGGGTCAGGGCTTTGTCTGAGGATAGCACCGAAGCCACTTCCCCTGCGGAAATCAACAAGAGCTGACACACTGGACACTGGAGACGCACACAGAGGCAGGAAGAGGCACCGCGATGGCACAAACAGAAGCACATGTGTTGCACTTTCATGCAAAACTTGATGGTGTCTAAAACTCACACTCACCTTTCCACCAATAGTTAAAATGAGATTCTGTTCAGTAAAACTGCAAAGTACAACCCTCCAGTTTACTTAATTAGTTAATTCATCGATCTAACATTTTAATCATGCAACTCATTACTTGATTAGAAAGCAGCTTTTGTTTCTTGAGGGGTTTGCCCAGCACGGTCCTTCAATTATTGAAATGTAATATTCCAATTTAATCTTAAATCTTCATTTTAAAACATCTGTGGCATCCACATTTTATCCAAATATGTCAAAATGGTGGGATTTCAGGCCTATTTTGAATTCATTTCACCAGGGATGAAAAGAGCTTTGTCTGATCACGACCCGTTAAATGGAGCTGAAGGAGCACAAAAATGCAGGCTAAGGACCCTTTTCTTGATGATTCTTATTTTTTTAAAGCGCTGTGTTTTCCAAAATGATCAGAGCCCATTCCACCGTGGGTCGTTATCAATATTGAACGTTACATCAGCGGTATCGGGAGCGCATGCTGGCTCTTGAGCGGCGTCCTAGACAAGTGAGATTCCCTCAATGGGAGCATCTAAAAGCAGAGACATG